GGAGAAAATGAAGTTGCGGAACGAGGGATGGAGGGAGGAAGGAAGGAAGGAAGGACGGAAGGAAGGAAGGAAGGAAGATATAGTGGTTTGGATGCTTGCGTAGAGGAAGAGAGGGGGAAGGAGTGGATAGGAGTGGGGGAGAGAGGAGTAATGAGAGCATTTCTGCAGAATGAGGAGTGTGTGTGTGTGTGTGTTTGTGCGCGGGTGGGAAGGGAAGGAGGAGAGGGGAGGGAGGAGTGGTGGTTGGTGATCAGGGTCCCAGATTGAGCCCGAATATCTCACTGGTGAATGATTTGGCACGACACACACACACACACACACACACACACACACACACACACACACACACACACACACACACACACACACACACACACACACACACACACATATCAAGTCACCACATCCCCACACCACTCTCCCAAAAATTCAAACACAGACGCTAAAGGGTGACTGGTCAATTGGGCCCCAGTCTGAACAGGGTCAAGTCCTCCTAGGCCCCAAAAGTTTACCTAACCAAAAGGACTGGGAGCCAATCAACATGGGCCTCAAGTGCTAATGGACCACAATGCTTACAGGTTAGGTTAGGTTAGATTGGGTTAGGTTAGGTTAGGTTAGGTTAGGTTAGGTTAGGTTCCCAGTGTACGGATTTACAGAGAGGAGAAGCGTGCTGGCCGCCATTACTCCCCGGCCAACAGTGGGAAGGTCGGCCCATCCATCACGGCCAGAGATGTGAGACTGACGCAACAACAGATGACGGTATGTGATCCACCTACACAACATAGGGTTGGTGGGCTGTTTTTAGTCCTAACACACATCGTAACTTAGACCCTTAGTTAGTGACGGACGCTCTCTCTCTCTCTCTCTCTCTCTCTCTCTCTCTCTCTCTCTCTCTCTCTCTCTCTCTCTCTCGGTGGAAGTGTCTCTGTGATAATCTATTAATGTTGGATATTTCCCTTCTTCCATTATTTATCAATCATTTTGCTATCTATTAGGTTTACCGTACTCTTGTTTCTTCTCTGTTTGGGGTAGATCAAGAGATGGAGAATCCTCAAATGGGGAGAGAGAGAGAGAGAGAGAGAGAGAGAGAGAGAGAGAGAGAGAGAGAGAGAGAGAGTCCAAATTAATCCACCTATATACAGTACTATACCGAGTCGCCACCACCCAACCGTAGGCCAATACCGTATATACAATTCCAATTAAACGGGATATAGCAATAGATATACATTACTATATTCCAATCATTAACCCAGTACCTGTATAAGAACTCTCCCTGCCTAAATAAAAGCCGATAATGTAAAAAAAAAAAATAAATAAATAAATAAATAAAAAAGGCAATTGAACAAAGCCCTAAGTCCATTTTATCTCTTTTTTTCTTTTATTTTTACGTAGCTGACCTGCCAAAAGCCAATAACACTGTCCAATATGTGCCAAAGTATTTTTTCCTCATTCAGTAAAGCCGCTTTGTCCACTAGTGGCGCCCTCCCCCTCCCTGGTGGCCAAAGTGACAACTGCACTTAGACTACCTACTGTACACCCACTGGGGACAACTACGACGCCCTGTGTGTTACTTGATTCGTAACACAGGAAAAACTGATGCGTTAATAACAAAATAATAACAATAATAATAACCCTACTAATAATAATGATGATGATGATTGATAATAATAATAATAAAATAAGATAAGAATAATAATGAAGGTAATAACGATTATGATGATAAAGGAAGTATGTATGTCTGTCTGTATGTATGTATGTATGTATGTATGTCTGTCTGTATGTATGTATGTATGTGTGTATGTATGTATGTATGTATGTATGTATGTATGTATGTACGTCTGTATGTATGTATGTACGTCTGTATGTTGCTACAGAATTATCGACCAGGTCAGTAACTCCAGGTGGCTCGACTCCCAACCAAGTCAGGTCACGCGGGTCAGTCTGGGATAAATTGAGGTTAATGGTCTTCCGGCGGGGGTCAAGGTGGGGGGGAGGGGGGAGGAGGAGGGGGGGATGGAGGGATATTTAAGGTTACTGATGTAATTTTGGCCTCACGGGAGCTTTAATATAGGGGTCAAAATTAGGTCATGGGGTCAAAGGGGAGGGTTAACAACTGACCCTGAATGCTTAACAACACACAACGGAAACCTCAGAGGCTTCATGGCCGACTGGAGGCCTAGGGAGGTTCACAATATAGGCTCTATGTAGTGTCATTCAAGGTCAATAGGCTGGTCAAATTAACTTACGGGGGTGGGAACGTCACTTAAACCAATTAGAGGTCACGAACGAGAACACACGAATGAGCTAGAACAGACGAACGAACTAGAACACACGAATGAACTAGAACAGACGAATGAACTAGAAGAGACGAACGAGAACACACGAACGAACGAGAACACACGAACGAACTAGAACACACGAACGAACGAACTAGAAGAGACGAACGAGAACACACGAACGAACGAGAACTCACAGACGGAGCTAGAACACGAACAGACGAACTAGAAGAGACAGGACGAGAACACGAACGAACAGATAACCAACCAATCCTATACCCCCTCTCTGCTGTACAGGGGGTGGGTAAGGAGGAGGGAGGGAAGATGATAAAAAGAGGCTGGAGGGATATGGAAGGGAGGGAGGGAATAGGTGATAAGAAGCTGGAAGGGTGAGGAAGGAGGGAGGGAGAGGATAGGTCGAATAGGCAGGAGGAGTGAGGATAGACACACACACACACACACACACACACACACACACACACACACACATATATATATATGGAATGAATGGTAAGGTTAAGAAAGCAAAGGTGTCTGACTGACTGACTGACTGACTGGACAAGAGCAGAGACAAACTTACAATAAAAACAAATAAAGAATAAACAAATATTTTTTTCCCCCATAAGACAAAAAAGACAAAGTAAAGGGAATTAAAGAATGACAAGGGAGAAATAAAAAGACCAGAAGAATGGAAGAGGAACAGGAATAAATGAGGGAATTAGCGGCACTGAAAGAAAGGAGAACTGGGGAGGGAGAACTGGAGGAGGGAGGGGAGGGAGGGAGGGAGGGAGGGAAGGAGGGGAGCTGGCTGCAAGACATTGGTAGATGAAAGGATTTAGTGGTGATGGTATGGGAAGGACGAAGGGAAGGATGGTACAGGTGGTGATGATGATGATAGGAGGGAGGAGGGAAAGAGGAAGGTTAGAGGAAAGGGAGGAAGAAGAGGAAGGGGAAGGAATGGGTCAGATGAGGGAATAACAAAGAGGGAAAGAAGGGTGTACCACATATGTGCCACCTTCTCACTCACCCTCCCTCCTCCTCACCCCCTCCTCATCTCTCACCCCTCCTCACCTCTTATCCTTCTCTCAGTGCCAACAGATATACCATTATCGTGTTAAGTCCATTTCATACCTAACCTAACCTAACCTAACCTCAACCTAACCTACAACCCAACCTAACCTAACCTAACCCAACCCAACCTAACCTAACCTAACCTCCTAACCATTGGTGAAAATCCTGGTGAACAATGAGATGAACTGTATATAATGGCTCCACACTACACAAGACTGAGGAGATTAACTCGCCAGCCACGTTAAAACATTTGTCACGTCTTTCCACAATGCTTAACTATATTTTTTATCTACTCAAGGGAAGAGGCAGGGGGAGGGGGCTTGACTCACTTCATTGTTGACTCTTCTGATTTCCTCTCTCTCTCTCTCTCTCTCTCTCTCTCTCTCTCTCTCTCTCTCACGTCTTGTTGGCTATGGTCATTCCCTCCCCGAATATCCCTCAAGCAAAACCGTGCCTTATCCCTCCCTCCCTCCTTCCCTCCTGGTAAAGACATCATCCCACCCTCCTTCCCTCCCTCCTTCCCTCCATCCCCCCTTTCTCATCACTTCCCCTATCTACACGCTTCTCATCTACCCCCTTCCCCTCTCTGAAGATTATAACATGATAAAATAAACTTTCTCTTGTGAATAGGAGCCTAAGGTGTAGCTGTGTGTGTGAGAAGAGGTGGGAGATGTACTCAACGGGTGTATCCGGTGCATGGGTGTGATGTGCTTGGGTGGGTGGGTGGGTAAGCAGGTGGGTGGGCAGGTGGGTGTTGTACTGTACCCCCCCCCCCAATCACCCCATCACCCCACACTACCCCTTTATTGATCTCTCCCCAATGTGTTCAATAAACGTTTCCTGTGGCCCATTACTCCCCACTCCCTCACCCTGTCTGGGGAGGAAGAGTAGGAGGTAGTGGGGAGGGAAAAGGAGAGTAGAAGGAGGAGGAGGAGGAGGAGATGATGGTGGAAGAGGAGAGAAGGGAGAAGAAAAGGAATAGGAAGGACCACCAGCGCCAGAAATAGCAGCGGAAGATCCCTCAACTAGTTAGTGACCTCTAAAATGCTGCCATCACACACAGACACACACACACACACACGCACACGCAGACACACACACACACACAGGCAGAAGCAGCCAGCAGTAGCACCAGCAGCAGCAGCCGAGGGGGGGTGTAAAGCTTAGGGAGTAGTAAGCTTTACGAGGCAGTTATATGTAGTGGGGACTCGCTTCACAGCTCATAGCCAGGCCCTGAAACTTACTGTATGACTCGCCAGCCTCACACGCACTCTCTCTTCCACCGCACTTTTTATCCAAGCCAACACACGCACTCTCTTGCACTCTCTTTCCTCCACACACTTTTTACCCTTAATATAAAAAAAACCCAAAATCGTAACAAAGAAAAACAACAACAATACAAATTCGTAACTTAAAAATAAAACAAATTCGTATAACCTTAAACCAAAATAACACTAAACAATACTTTAGAGTTGTACTTAAAAACCAAATATAAAACTCACTCCTCTACCGATGCAAAAACCAACCTAACAGCTTAATAAAACCTAACTGGGTAATGCATGAATACTTAAAAAAATATATATATAAAAGTTTGCAAAAATTTACTGACCTGAAAAAAAATATCTAAAAAAAAGTTTGCCAAAGTTTACTGACCTACGCTGGATAGTTTCTGTGCGAAAATAACTTGAATTAGACGGACGGACGGACGGAGAGGCGTATACCCTTATGCCCCGGACATACGTACTGAAGGGGCATAAAATAAAATTAATTTAGCTGTCAGGCATCAATGGAAAAACAAAAAAATAATAAAAAATAAATAAAAAATAGTATAAAAGTAACAAAAATCATAAATACAACAAAATACAGTAACTAGGGATGTATTCTACGTAACCATGCTGTATTGGGGTTTTGTATTCTTCACTACAGTACTACAGCAACCTACAGAGCGAACGAAGTGGAGCATCGCTTTACACACTACAAGACTGACAGGTGTATCAAGATAAGCCTGAGATCAATTTCCTCCCTTATCGTCTTATCGTAAATAATTCCATCATCAACCCGTTATTTTACCTCACGCCTCACACCCTATTTCAGTCAATCACCTCACGCCTCACACCCTATTTCAATCAATTACCTCACGCCTCACACCCTATTTCAGTCAATTACCTCACGCCTCACACACTATTTCAATCAATTACCTCACGCCTCACACACTATTTCAGTCAATCACCTCACGCCTCACACCCTATTTCAGTCAATTACCTCACGCCTCATACCCTATTTCAATCAATTACCTCACGCCTCATACCCTATTTCAATCAATTACCTCACGCCTCATACCCTATTTCAATCAATTACCTCACGCCTCATACCCTATTTCAATCAATCACCTCACGCCTCACACCTATTTCTCCACACGCCACACCCTATTTCAATCAATTACCTCACGCCTCACACCCTATTTCAGTCAATCACCTCACGCCTCACACCCTATTTCAATCAATTACCTCACGCCTCACACCCTATTTCAATCAATTAACTCACAACTCACAACCAATTTCACTCACATACTACCACAACCTTCACTAAAACAGGCCAACAACTCCATATTTATTATCCTCACAACCCCCAACCTCCCCCCACACATAAACTCATCACCCCCTCACATAAACCCATCTTCCCCCACATAAACCCCATCCCCCCATAAACCCACTCCCCACCCCCCACATAAACCCATCCACCCCCCATAAACCCATTACCCCCCACACCAACCCATTCCCCCCCGCCCCCCCAAACACCAATTTTATATCACAACAACAAATCACAACAAACAAACTTTTAATCATTTTCCTTCTATTCAAAACTGATCCTTAAAGCACATACACAAAATCAACATTCATTCAGACGTACACATGGCTAGCGATAAGGGGTGTGTGTCTGTGTGTGTGTGTGTGTGTGTGTGTGTGTGTGTGTGTGTGTGTGTGAGTGTGTGTGTGTCTGTGTGTGTGTGTGAGTGTGTGTGTGTGTGTATCCGGCGGGAAGCAACGCGCGGTCATATCAGCACGCGATACACACATTATCCAGGACAGACGATGAAAAAAATACAAATCTTTCCTTCCTCCCCACTTTCTCCCCTCTTCAATCCCTTACACGTGTTGCCTCTGATAAGGGGGTAGAGATAAGGATAAGGAGGAGGGGGAGGGTGAAGAAGAGCGTGTGTAGAGGAAAAGAAGGGGAAATGGTGGAAGGGTATAGGGAGATAAGAGTGAAGGGGTGATGGGGATAAGGGATAAGGGTTGGTGACGAGGAAAGAGTAAGAAAAGAAAGGGAAGAGAGAGACAGAGAATAATAGACGGTAAGGAAGAAACAGAAGGGGTGGAATAAGGATGAACTCACAATATCCATAACATAACCATGATCTATCGACCCCCAAGACCAACACACTCGCCACTTCTGCCATCTAACATATGACGAGGCCAGGAACTGAACCCCGAGTCATAATAACCAATAAATCCACGACACAGGTGATCTATATGACACCTGAGATGATAGGCCTATAGTGTAACATACTGGGCTCTCACACAACGCTAGTGGGGCCTTGAAGAGAGTGAAAAACAAGTCATTATACCTTTAACCAGCTGACGAGGCGTTCCAACATCGTACTTGAATGGCGCGGCTTCTGAAAAGTTTCCTCATAAATGTGTGAAATAACAATATAAAGGTGAAAAATGTTGATGGCCCGCGGTGATAATACTAGTACCAGCCCCCGGGAACGATCTTAGAGTTTCAGATTCACAAAGATTTCCCCCCACGTTAAAAAAAAAAGTCTCTTCCTTCCCTGGTGTTAAGTGAACGTATCTGGTTAACTTAATGACTCACTCTAATTTCTATGTTATTTTCAACGTTATTCTTGTGTTTTAGTTTATGTCAGGGAATTACATACGTTCTTAAATCTCCTGTTGTTAAGGTGATTCAACGCATGAGTTTCTGGGGATGGGAGCTGGTGGATGGAGGAGAGGTCTACAGCCCCCCCTACACGTGCAGAGTTCCGGTAAATAATGTCTGATTAAGTCCCCACCTGTATGATATAAGGTGGTGGAGGGAGGCAGGTGAGGTGAGGAAGGGATGAGGTAGGGGTGAGGGATAGGTGTAGGGGAGGGGTGTGGGGTGAAGGGCAGGTGTAGGGGAGGGGAAGGACAGTGAAGGATAGGTGTAGGGAGAGAAAGGGGTAGGTATACGAGAAGAGAAGGGGTGGAGTGTAGGTGTATTGAAGGAGAATGGGAAGGAAATGGGGAGGGACAATCTTCATAACGAGATTGCTAAGGCCATATTATGATACTACTTAAAAGTAATATTCTCCCGTTAATACTACTACTACTACTACTACTACTACTACTACTACTACTAGGACAATGGCTACTGCCGGTGTTGATGGTGACCCTAGTAACAACCCCCCCCCCCCTTGTAATAACTCAGTGGCCCCCCCTCGTTGATTAACCTGTATCCCCGCCCCACCAGGTATATTGATTATGCTAAAGCTAATACTTTTCAATATCCAGTCGAGAGTGCTGCCGCGGGGCCCTGGAGGTGGGGTGGTGGATGGATGGAAGAATGGATGGATGAATGGAAGGATGGGGATGGATGGATGGAGGAAAGATAAAGGCGAAAGGGATGGAGGGTGAGGACAAGGTAAATAGGTGAAGGAAAGGACAAGACGCAACAAAGACCGAGAACGATGATAAAGGCAGTAGAAGAGGGAAGAAGGAGGGATGAGAAAGGGCGACACAAAGAGACCCCCACCCCGAGACCTGAGTCAACATGGAACAAGACGGCAGAAAGGATAAAGCCAAAAGGAAAGGAAGGTAAATGCTTGGGTTAAAGAGTCAAAAGGGAAGGCAAAAAGGTTAACCGGGAGCTTTCAGATGATAACAAGAGGGGATGGGGAAGGGGAAGAGAAGAAGAGATGCAAATATGAATCCAAAAAAGAAAGCCTAGAAATGGAAAAACAACGTGAGGATGGTACAGTATAGCCAAGTCTAGAGTGAAGCAAGAAGAGAGTGAGCCAAGGGAGGGGGGGCGAAGGGAAGGGGGGGAGGGGACTGATGGGGACTGAAGGAAAGAAAGGGGACTACGTTAGGCAGTCCTCACCTCACAATAATAATGAACAGGGTCAGTCGTCAAGATTCACAAAGAAGTGACCGTAAGTTAAATAATCTCGTCACTACAAATGTTTATACACAAATCAATCTGATATAAGGTAAACAAACATAACATTACCCTAACCTAACCTTTTTTTCATAGCAGGTAAGGGACAATATAACCAAAGCTCACCTGTACCATTTAAGATATTAATGGAAAGGTAGAGAAGGAAGGGAGGAGGGAGGGAGGGAGGGGTTATGTCAGACTGAAAAAAAGGAAGGAAGGAGGGAAGGAGGGAAGGAAGGAAGGAGGGAAGGAGGGAAGGAAGGAAGGAGGGAAGGTTCTTATGTCTCCAGTGACGAGGAAATTTTTTTTTTCCGAACGTTGTTAAGTCGAGCCCTGAGGGTAATGGGGGCTCGACATAGACTTCTGATAATATACGGTACATTGCGTCGTCGACCTGAGCCATACTGTAGGGGGGAGAGGGGAGGGGAGGAAGGAGGGGGGCTGTAGAAATAATAAAACAGAAAAAAATAACAAGCGGGGTGATTGGCGTTCTGGTTCATCTTTGTTTTACTTGTATGGAAGGGGAGGAGGAGGGGGGGGTGGGGGAGGAGGAGAGGGGGGTAGAGGGGAGGGTTGAGAGAGAGACATGAAGTGTACGAGAGGAGTGGTGAGAGGGAAGAAGAAATGCAGACAGACGAAGAGGTGGAGAATAAAAATAAATAAAAAAATAAACGATAAAACGCGAATATTTATGGATGAAACGGAAGATGGGAAAAAATACGACGAAATGAAAGGGAAGAAATAGCTATAGACAGGGTAGAAAAGGGGAGGGCAGGTGAATTTATAAATACCAGGTTAGAGGTGGAAAGGAGAATGAGAGATGAGGGAAAGGAGAGGAGAGGAGTGGGTAGAGGGAAAGATGAAGAGGGAGTAAGGTGAATGAAGGAGAAGAGATGAGTGGGAGAGATTGGAGAGGGAGAGAGAGATGAGTGGGAGGAAGAGGACGACTTAACATTGTGGACATTAGAAGCTTGACATTACCGCCAGGAGAACAGAAGGGACCCATAATATAAGTAACACACACACACACACACACACACACACACACACACACACACACACACACACACACACACACACACACACACACACACACACACACACACACACACACACACACACACACACACACACACACACACACACACACACACACACATACCATTCCTGAGCCAGAAGCGAGGAATAACTATTATATTTTCAAAGCAATTTCTCCCTCTTAAAAGACTTATCCTATACTGCCTTAAGAAAGTCACAATCCTACCCTCGTTCCCTCACACATGAAGGCCTCTACCAACACCTCCTTTCAGAATGGCGGCGTGACAACACAATCTCCATCTAGTGACTTACTGACTATTGGTAACTTCATCCCAGTGAGAACGTATAACTTTTAACGTGGATGGAAATATATTAAACACAAGAAATATAAAAATTCCTTTAAATTAGCTCATGTGATGTGTGTGGATACGTCAAAAATATAAACATCACACATTATAAAAACAACAACAAAATAGAATGCTTATAGCTACATACATTGC